AAAACAATGATCGACCATATCAATGTTCTAAACCATGGAGAGAACATGTGTCTGTCCTCTAAAGAATAAACTACAAACTACAAACGCATTACTAGAGTTCATGAGCATTAGATATGTGGGATCCTACTGAATAAAGTTATACAACTCAAATTCTTAAGATTTATAACATAATACTATCAAATAAACAAGAAAACTGGCCCTCAATGAATGTTGACTATCAGTTCAAAATCACACCGCGCTTGTTTATAAATTTTCGTAATGACTATTCTGCCTACATGTTAATTCGCAAACAAGGCGTAGATGTTCCAATATTCTCTCAGGTACTCTAGACAAAGTAGTGCATTAATAACAACAACTATTTATTAAAAGATACTGAAACGTTTTTTCCAACTAAAAATTAAACACTACTAACCATTATTACTTTGTTAGAGTACATGTTTGAATATAACTCTAGGTGAATTTTTCTATAATCTGTATTGGAATTTTGAAATAACGCAATACAATAGACTACTACTTATTAGCTGTAGTAGTAGTGATGCTGATAAATCTTATATCATTAAAAATTTAATAAAATATAAGGCAAATAACAATCTAACAGGTTAACAGAAAACATAATTTACTATTACCAATTAAAAAATCTGCCATTATCTTTATTTTAGAAATAGTAGATATGAGAATTGAAAAGTTACAAAAAAGTAAAAAAAAAGAGTATTTAGCTACCTTTACCCTCTGTTGTGGTAATAGATGGTTGCAGGCAATCTACAGGAAGCCTTGCCGGGACTTACCTAGGTTATGTGCAAGTTGGCACTCACCAGTCAGTAAGACAGGTGTATCTGCAGCCTCGGAGGAACTCATATCCCTTCTGAGATTCTAACTCGCATTATTTAGTGCCGCCAACAGTCAGAGACATTACCACTGAGCTATTCAGCCTCGCGATTGACCTCCTGCAGGACTGGTTTGGATATTTTTGATTGGACACTAGTCAGTTACTAGTGTAATGTGATGAAATCCTGTAACCAATCAATCATGTCCCCACAAACCAACACTTGAATATCAATGACATGCTAAGTGGCAACTTGCCGTATTCAGGTAGGTAGTTACCTAGGGAAATCGTGACCAGTAGGGTGCAGCAGGTCGGGTGTGAGAACAAATACTCGCCGAAGACATTGGCTAGCGGTCAAGCTATGTCGTGAATTGGCAGAAGTTAGAATTTATGGGCTGGCCGTTGGATCGTTGGTCCTAGTGGCTTATTGGTCTACGAGCTAGCTCACCTTGTAACCAGAAGGTCTTGGGTTCGAACACCCGTAGTGGATGCGTGCTGATGAGGAGTTGCAAACTAGGCTGACGAAATAGCTGGCTGTCCAGTACTCCCAACTGGTTTTCCAATGGTTTTCTAACCAATGTCAGCTCATGATGAAATCCTGTAACTAGTGTAACGTGTCTAGGCCTATCTTTGGTGAACACTGAATGGTGGCTGCACTGCAAACTTGACTGATAGAATTCAGTATGCAGCAAAGATAGGATTAGACACATTACACTATTTACTGACTAGTGTCGAATCAAAAATACCTTTACCCTCTGTTTCTTTTAAGAACGTAGATTACACTGGAAAACAAAAGAGCATGCAAACCAGTAGTGAAATTGTCATTTGTTTCTATTTGCAATGAGTGTTCTTCTTAACTGTGTGAACTGTTTCTCTCATTAATTTGTCACCCTAGTAGAGTAGAGGGCTTCAAGGTTTGAAGTTTCGATAACGGTAGTATTACTCTGAATTGGTGGGGTTGCAAGCCCTGTCTTCCCTCTTTTCTGAGGTTTCGTAGTGCTAGAAGTTGACCTTAGTCCTGCCATGTGGCTGGGTATCATTTTACCATGGAGCCATGGACGCAACAGCTTTCTGAACAGCGGGAATTAAAGTCCTCACAAGTGCTTTGTTGACTTTCCGAAATCAATAGCTTATATATGGCTTAAGAAACAAGTAAGTTTTGCCACAATATAAATTTTTTTCACAATCTTGAATAAATCGAAATAATACAGGTTTAGAGAGATATTCACTTTGTTTTTGATGGTCAGTGTTATGTTTTGAGTCAATAAATAATTCAATATAAGAGAAGTACGTTGCTAGTTTTTCGGGTATCTTTGATGCAAAACATTTTAACTTTCAAGCACCCAAATGACTTAAAGTACTACATATGGATAAAGCAGTACATGTTATTGTAATCCTACAAGTATTTTCATGCTTTATAATTTAATCAAGGGAAGTGTGTATACCTCAATTATATCATAACCACGATTAAATAATTATCTAATGATAAGTGTTCAACTTATAGGCATGATAATGATAAACTCAGGCTATATTTCGTTATATATATATATATACATATATGCCCTATATCTTGTCTCTAAACTCCAAACAGTACTAAGAAATACACATTTTTCTTTACCAAGAGCATCTTAAAATGACGGCAACCAGAGAAAGTTATAATAATGATAGTACCAAAAAATTACCTTTCCAAACTTCTATTTATCAATCTATAAACTAGACTGTGATGACTTATGATACTACATGCTTGATAACGAGAGGATTATACACTCTACAGATTGAGAGTGAACGGGGCACTTCACCGTTAGAAAGACAACCCTTCAAACATCGAAGTTAATGTCTTATCGATTAGTATACCTGAAATAGGATTGGATAGGACAGCTTTGTGCTGTCACCTAAGAAAGCAACTCAGTTTAATTTACTATACTGCTCCAAGAATTCGAATATTTTACTGATCACTGTAATATTTTTCTAATACTTTACAGATAGATATTACCACAACATCTTGGAATCGATAAAGTTAAATGTCATCCTCATAGCAATAAAAATTACAAGTCAAGAGTGCCGTTATATATTCGTATTTCGCGAAATATACCCATCAATTCATAAAGAAAAACACAGCTTTTTGTTCAAAGAAGAAATATCTCTTTTCAACGACTTCATTTTCAAGCTATACAGTCGTATTTATATTACGGAAAAAGGCATTACGTGGCACTAGAAATTGATCAATCAATATACATATATATATGATAAGAATAAAGATAATTAAAATGATGTACTAAGGGGAGGGGTAGAGTTGAAGCGGATGAATTACAAAACTTCTAAACATTATTAAATAAATGAACTGGTATAAATATTTTAAAATTTTAGGTCAAGTGTTATCTGAAAAATTAAGAGTACGATGATGATAAGAATAAAGACGGCGAAGGTGAACTGGAATGAATTCAAATGGTAGAACATTACTATGACTAGGTAAAGAAATGGGTTTGACAAAACGTTTTTGAATATATAATTTAGGTTTTTGTCCATGTATAGCTACAGCTTAGGCTATGCATTAGGGGAGAAAACGTAAGATTTTGGAGTGATTGGATTTGGTCCTGTACGTAACTTTAAAGTGCCACTTAATGCCTTTTTCCGTAATATAAATACGACTGTACAACTTGAAAATGAAGTCATTGAAAAGAGATATTCCTTCACTGAACAAAGAAACTATATTGGTATTTGTTGAACGATAAACATATGGCCAACACTTCTTACCTTAAAACTTTCCAAGTTAATCCGTATTAAACTTTTATCAGCAATTTTTAGTAATGAGCGGTCAACTGAACAGAAACCTACTCTGGTACATTCAGTGTATTGCATCATGACGCAAAACTGATCTAGCAGTTCAAAGAACTAATTCGCGGCTTAAACATTGGCAAAATATTGAATTCCATCAAAGTCGAATGCGGCATTTTTATGGAACACAAAACCAATCTAATTATTAAACAGTGATCCAGCAGTCTGATGAATGGAGAAATTCAGCAGTATGCCGGAAAATAATTTCGAGCAGTTTTCGAAACTTAGGAGGATCTATACATGTGTTTTAGAGTGCACACTTGTTAATGAAGACTATAAGCTGGACAGGAAATAGTTGCACAAACACAATCTTCGAGTCCGAAACAAACCTACACATAAGTCTGTCACTCCACAATATATATATATATATATATATATATATATATATATACAGTGGAGTGACATAGATACAAGGAGTACCGAAACATTAGAAGTTAGCATGCATCCACCAACCTGAGAATGTCCTATATAACTTATTTTTTCTGCATTCGTATGGTTCAGGACATAGTTTATTGACGCAGCAAGGTCGTATTTACCCATCTCATCCCATGAAAATGCCCAGAAGTCTTTATCTTCCGGTTTTAAGAACTTGTGCTTTGACGAGTAGGTGCTTCCGCGACTATTCCCCATCCACACATCGTAGCAATTGTCTGAAAGTATAAATCCTAAACTTTCATTTCGAAGATTGTTGACCCACGTATGTGCAGAGTCCAAAAGACCATGCTGAAGAAAAACAACCTTTTGTTTACCTGTGAATATGCAGAATATTTTTACTAACTGGAACATACTAAAAGGCTGATTACATTTCGGCAAAATTCGAACGATACAAAGAATGTATCCATCATCAGTCGTTATGTAGTGCTCCTGAGGTGTATAACCTTTGGAAGAAATTATTTCTGTCTGAAAAATGGTTTTTAAGGATGAATGCAGTCCTACTATGTTTTGATATACTTCAGGATCTACACCATTTTTAAATGCATCAAATAATTTCTCGACTGAAAAATCAGGATTCTGATGAGCGTCATCAATGAAAACGCTGACTATTAGGAACCACAGAAACCAAAAAAGCACCGAACCGCCTTCCATTTACCTCTCGAAACTGGTAATTGTACTTTAGCGAAGACAAACAAATGCTGTTCAATATCCAATTTGCTTTCCACAAAATAGTCCAAGCCGAACTGAACATTTGTTCATCATTCTTGATGATGGAGAAAACATTTCTGAATTTTGGTGGATTTCTGCACTGTCAGTCTCACAACTCAACAATCGTAAGCCTGGAGAACCCTGAGTACTATGGGAGGTTCCAATATTCAATATATATACAGGGCAGGATAAGCTTGAGTGATAATTTCGAGCCCATCTTTTGATAGTGAGATAACGTCTTCTTTGGTTTGGTGAGCTTCTGTGGGAGTTGTTTCACAAATCACCTGGTGTAGTTTTAGTGGACCACCAGTGTTACTAGAGTTATATTATTCTTTATTTGTAATATCCAGTGTGAAAAGACTTTGGAGCTGCTGTAATCAGCAAGCGTTTTCGCCCATTAGTCACCCGTTGTGACAGCAAAGGAGATAACAATGGTTATAATTACATTATTGGTGGCGAATATGTAAATCTACAAAAGTTGACCAACAAGTGGACAAACAGTTTCAAACGAAAAAAAGTAAATGGTGATAAAGAAGAATGGGTCAATAGTTGTGCAGGGCCAAAGGGTGAGTGTGGCTGAAAAGTCGCCGTCAGTGAGGACACTTGTGAGGACCCTTTATCTGTGTAGCCGTGTGTTCCTGATGATTATTTAGTCTAATCTTGAAGCTTACCTCAGGAGGTACAGCAGCTCTTTCCTGAGATTTCTATGGGCAACAAATAGAGAGCGAAAAGAAGTGACAGAGCTATAGGATGTTTTGGCCTCTGGTCCTTCGTGGGTTGCTACGATGTAGTCGTAATAACCTAATGGTGGGATCTCTTTGCTCCGAAGGGTTCCGACTGCTTGCACTCTGCTGTATGAGGTTTAGCTACCGGAGGTGGTTAACTGTACCTTCTCCACCCCCACCCGGAACACTCTTCAAGAGGTTGGCATCTCTTTCAAGTCACTTCGGAGCAATGATATCAAGAACCATAAATTGCTGTCATGCATAAATTTATGGTTTTGGATAAAGCTCTGGCGTGAGTGCGCCCAGTTTTCTAAGCGTGGATTGTACAACCAAATGTGCGTTAAATGGAACAGACAGTGATGCAACAGCAAGCTTTATTAGAATGTTTCAGACTTGAGATTTCAACAACCGGATATATGTCGTGGAATGTTTTCAATGAGAGCCCCATAGCTCCTTGATATGTATTGGTTTTCAAACAATGAAACCGCGTGCCCAGCAACGGATTCAATATAGATAGTCCAGGAGGCTAGTAAGCTACCTGGCTTGGATGTCCGTCAGCTCAATTTATGTTTATGTCAACTAGAAATGACGTCAATCCCGTTAGATCTGAGCTTTGGCCAGGCTGCTCAGGCCAGCCTAATATGCCTCCTGATCCTCTCCCAAAATCCTCACTGCTCGACAAAAGACGAATGTCATAACAACTTCCAATTTGGGATGTATCCGGATGAACTGGTGTGAAGAATTCATACGGATATACCAACTTGTGACTTCACTGTCCAATTGTCAGGAATAAGTCTTCTCTGTCCTTCGTCATCATAGATAAACAGACCGAAGAGGGGCAAGATTTATAGTTCAGGTGGGTGATTTTGGCATAGTTGTGTTCTCCGAACCAGTTGGTTTAACCACAAATCAACCATTCCAGAGAGCGCAACTAAATCTAAAGCAAACTGATATTTCAAGATGAAATGCTAGGAGCTCAGTTGGGAAAAATAATATTTGTTGTTAGCGTATTGTCTGTGATAGGTACTGGTGTTTCAGCGTCTTATCACCCTCTGTCTTTAGCCCAGCAGTAAAGAAATATTCCACAAGAAGTCACTGCACGCATTTGTGGAACGAACCGTAGCTGCTGTGTATGTTTATGAAGCATTATTAAAATGACCACCCAGCTTATAACATGTCTCTGCCGCCAAATATTTATGTCTGTAAATTCCTGTGGCTTGCGAAACTAGTTCCCAAATCCAGTTAAATGATGTGGTTCAGACACATTTCATTCGTTCCGTAAACTGATTTCTTACGAGAGGTCAGCCATAAATGGGTTTGACAAAAAGTATGATTTCACCTGCGGAAGAAAAATTGTTCCTTCCAATTTAAACTGAAATTTCACCTCGGTTTGAGATGAGATTAGTCTTTCTTAGATCTTCGTATTAATTAAGCACTTTGGACACCAGCAGTTAGTAACTTTCCATGGTTCCGAGTCCCCAAACACTGAAACCTTAAAGTAACCTCTTTACCTGTGCTATCAGGCAATCTCAAGTGGTGACCTAGAGATATTTCCTAAATTTCGGGTTCGGAAAATGTAGAATTTAGCCTGTAACACCAATGCACTGCTGTCTTTGACATGTTTATCGCCCAAAGCTGGATGATCTCCAAAGTGCATAGATCCCTACCACTTGGTTGTCTTAATTAGCAACGAATGACAGGGTGGGGAATATCCTCTTTGGAGATATCAATTCTTCTAACTCGGTAGCAAACACATCTATCAAAATCTCTACCAATAATTAAAATACCCAGACCCTAATCACGAAAAGCTTGAAAATTACTTCTCAGGTCAAAGTGGACGAAGTTCGAAATGCTAATATGTACCATAAAAAAGCCAGGAAAACGAAAATTCATCCTAGGCCTAAATATGCACTATTCAGCCTCATATCAGTAGTGTGATTAATGAATTAAATAATATGTCGTTACAGCAAACGCCTAAGATTCGGATAAATTCAGTCACAGCAGTAAGGACTGATTTCATTAGCGACGACAAACACAGAATTAATTGCGTGATGAAAGCTGATTACAAACATGGATAACACCTCACATATTCATTGGCACGCAGCGATAAAAAATAGGCTCCTAGTGAAAGGCCGATGTTGTATGGTTAATTGGTGTGGTCTGACTCTTAGACACGGGTAGGTTCTAATCAACCACAGTTACATGGATGCAACATGGTTTTCCATGTTAGGATGTCACAATAACTTATGCGTCCATATTGAGATAATTTACTACAACACAGAAAACCACATCATAGTGGGCAAAACCCGTGAGGTACGATTCAGGTTAACGCATGTAATGCACCATGAGATTTACAGTAGTGAAACAAATGCTCGAAACGTCATCAGTTAATATAATTGTACAACACTGTGTGATTTATCAAAATAAAATCTTATCCAAGATGGAGTCAAAAAATATGATATCTATCAAATTCATGCTTCTCTACCCTTGTGAGGTGTTTTGTTGTCCAAAAGTCAGTTGAATCCACAGATACTAGCAAAATATAATGTTCACATTCAGACTGAAATTACGCAATGTCTTACGAACACTTGTAGTATTCGCTATTCCCTCCCAAATGTATTTTCTTACGTCAAAGTATCTTTCAATGTTTCGTTGCATTTGAATGGCCTAAATATCTTCATGATCATGTACGTGGAGACATCTGACCAGGACGTCATTTTAATGCTTATCACTGTTTTGCTTCTATGGACTTTCTGCTTTTTGCTGCGATCCTGAAACCTCATTATATGCACTTGAGCAACGATAAATCGCAGAATTATCTTGGAGTCGTATAGACGTAGGGTTCAGTGATTTTGAAGTTATGGGAGTAAGGTTTAGATTCAATTGCCATATCAAATGGTGTCAAAAGTATTGAATGACGTAATCACACACTAATATAGTAAACTTCTAGCACTTCCTGCCACGTTAACGCATTGGTCATTAGATTAATAGTAATATTTGTGTGTACATCCTGTGAACTCTTGTTTTATTTTTTTAGCTACTTGCTAATTTCGGCCAATTCACTATGTGCGTTGCTGAAGAAAGTTATTCCCACAATGTCATCGATTTTTCACCATATGTTAAATCAGTAACAAGTGCATTCGTTAGTCCATTTGGAGTTAATGAGCGTCAACTTTTGCGAATGTTGTGACTAACGGAGTTTGCTAGTTTTGTGTGATTTCTCATATTGCGCAGTACATTTAGGAAATACATTTGCTTTTCGAATTATATTGTCGTCAATATACAGTCTGCTTTTCTGTCGTGATAAATATGCTGGCCATAATTATTATCAGTATGCATGTTGAAAGGACGGCATATTACGTGGAAGTCTAGTGTAGAAATCAAAGGTTCGAACAATGTCAGAATCTTAACAGGTACTTACGTAAGGAAAAATTGATACTTCCAAGATCAAAACATCAATAAGTGATAAAGTTATTAACATCATTTACATTCGAAAAGTTAAAGAGTAGTGACAACTTGTGAGTAGTTTGAGGGGAGATGTTTTGATGGAAAACGTCAAAGATGGAACGGTTAAAGTGAATGCATGGATAAGCGAAATCATCTGGCCAGTGTGCTCATATTCTGAAGTAAAACATAATCAGGAGAAGTATTCTGAGGACAAAAGTGCAGCAATCTTCTGGCACTTAGTATTATATTTGAGTTACAACTCAAAGTGGACGGCATGTTCCACACCGTATTTTTGGTACAGGTATGGAATTTTCAGCATGTGATATCGATAGCCTAAATTTTGCAGGCCGACCATAGATATCAGGTGTGCGTTGATAAAGGGTCGAACCCCGGACCATGTGCATGGCGAGAGTCCTAAACGCCGTGCCACCAATGCAATATGGTGTTTATTTTTAGTCCTGAATTAATAAGTGGACATCTCCACAAGTTTCTTGATAAAAGATTATCTTGGTACCAAGGGAAGTAAATGTGCTTCCATCTCCAAGAGAATATTAAGATTACCAAAACGCAGGAGGTTGTCTTTCCTACCACTACAACACCTGCTGAATTACCGTTTACAATCACTTACAAGGTAAAGAAGATCTGCGGGAGACAATGCGCTCCTCACTTCTGAATGTCATGGTGTTTTATAAGGGAAAAGCCATGTGCATAGGTTTATATAATTGTACGAATGATATTAATTCAGAACAAAGTTCTATGGTTCGCAGCCGC